ACCCTATCACCTTACCCCAATCAGACTGGCTAGGATCAAGAGAACAAATGATACCAAATGCTGGCGAGGATGTGGAGAAAGGGGGACACTCATTCACTGCTGGTGGGATTGCAAACTCATGGAACCCTTATAGAAAACAGTGTGGAGGACTCTTAAAAAACAAAAATGAACCTACTCAGAGGGAAATTTATAGCTTTAAGTGCCTACATTAAAAAATTGGAAGAACACAAATAAATGATTTAACATTGCAACTCAAGACACTTGGAAAGCAACAACAAATGAAACCCAAACCCAGCAGACAAAAGGAAAAATCAGGGCAGAAATCAATGAAATTGAAATAAAGAAAACAATTCAAAGAATCAACAATTCCAAGAGCTGGTTCTTTGAAAAGATAAGCAAGATTGACAGACCACTAGCCCAATTAACCAAAAGAAAGAGAATCTCCAAATCAACAAAATCAGAGATGAAAGGGAAAACATCACAACAGACACCAAAAAGATCCAGAACATTATAAGTGAATACTTTAAAAACCTATATGCTACTAAATTAGAAAACCTAAAAGAAATGGACGGGCATCTAAAAGCATGGAAACCACCAAAACTAAACCAAGAAGACATCAACAGTTTCAACAGACCCATAACACATAAGGAAATTGAAACAGTAATACAAAATCTCCCGACTAAAAAAAGCCCAGGACCACATGGATTTGCAGCAGAATTCTACCAGATATTTAAAGAAGATCTTCATCCAATACTACTTAATTTATTGAAAAACATAGAAATGGAGGAAGAAATTCCAAATTCCTTCTATGAAGCCAGCATCACTCTAATACCAAATCCAAGTAAAGATATAACCAAAAAAGAAAACTATAGACCCACATCCTTAATGAACATAGATGCAAAAATTCTCAACAAAATACTTGCAAACCACATACAGACACACATCAGAAAGATCATCCACTATGATCAAATCGGGTTTATTCCAGAGATGCAGAGATGGATCAATATACGTAAGTCAATAAAGGCCATAAATCATATAAATGGGCTCAAAGACAAGTACCACATGGTCATCTCAATAGATACAGAGGAGGCCTTTGACAAAATCCAATGTGAACTTATGTTCAAAGTCCTACAGGGAATTGGATGGGAGGGAAAACACCTCAACATGATTAAAGCCATATACACGAATCCACAGCCAACATCATTCTAAATGGAAAAGAACTGGAAGCATTCCCATTAAAATCAGGAACCAGACAAGGCTGTCCACTATCTCCACTCCTTTTTAACATAGTGCTTGAAACTCTTGACAGCAATAAGACAAGAAAAGGAAATTAAAGGAGTAATTATTAGAAAAGAAGAGATGAAATTAATCCTCTTTGCAGAAGTTATGACATTATATCTAAGACCTGCCAAAAATTCCAGCAGAAAGCTCTTAGAAATTAGTAACACATTCAGTAAAGTGGCAGGTTACAAAATTAATCTAAAAAAGTCTGAAGCCTTTCTATAAACCAATAACAAGCAACCAGAGAAAAAGTACATGAAACATTCCCCTTAACAATAGCTGAAAAAAATAAAATATCTTGGAATGAACCTGACCAAAGACATTAAAGAGCTCTACAATGAAAATTTTAAATCTTTGAAGAAAGAGATTAAGGAAGACATCAGAAGATGGAAGGACCTCCTACGCTCATGGATTAGAAAAATTAATATTGTGAAAATGACCATCCTACAAAAAGACATTTATAGATTCAATGCAATGTCAATCAAAACCCCCAAGACATTTTTCACAGAATTGGAAAAAAAAATCCTAAGAGTCATATGGAAGTACAAATGACCTCAGATAGCCAAAGTAGCCCTGAGCACTAAGAACAATGCTGGGGGCATTACTATACCAGATTTTAAACTGTATAACAGAGCTATAGTCATAAAAACAACATGGTAATGGCACAAAAATAGACCCATACATCAATGGAACAAAACTGAAGACCCAAATATGAGTACATGCAATTTCAGCCACCTGATATTTGACAAAGGGGCCAAGAACATGTGCTGGAGGAAAGACAGCATGTTCAGCAAATAGTGCTGGCAAAACTGGATCTCCACTGTAGAAGAATGAACAAAAGCCAACTCCAAGCCGGGCATGGTGGCGCATGCCTGTAGTCCCACCACTTGGGAGGCAGAGGCAGGCGGATCTTTGTGAGTTCAAGGCCAGCCTGGTCTACATGGTGAGTTCCAGGACAGCTAGGGCTATAAGGAGACCCTGTCTCAAAAAGACAATAAAAAAAAAAAGTCAACTCCAAATGGATCAAAGACCTCAATGTGAAGCCTGAAACTCTGAAAACTGGTAGAAGAAAACTGAGACTAACCTAGAAGATATAGGTGTAGGAAAGGATTTTCCAAACCGAACATCTATTGCTCAGGAAACAAGGTTAAGAATCAACAAATGGGACCTCATTAAACTAAAAAGCTTCTGTACAACAAAAGAAGCAACCAAGGAAGTAAAGAGAAAACCCACAGAGTGGGAGAAAATCTTCACTGGTGACACATCTGACATAGGTTTATCATCCAAAATATATAATGAACTCAAAAAACACAAAATTAAGAAAGGAAGTAACCCAATTAAAAGATGGGCTAAGGAGCTGAACAGAGAGTTCTCAAAAGAAGAAATAAAGACTGCTAAGAAGCATCTTAAAAGCTGTTCAACATCACTAGCAATTAGGAAAATGCAAATTAAAACCACTTTAAGATTTCATCTTACCCCAGTCAGACTGGCTAAGATCAAGAGAACAAATGATACCAAATGTGGAGAAGATGTGGGGAAAGGGGAACAGTCATTCACTGCTGGTGGGACTGCAAATGTATACAACCCCTATGGCGAGCAGTGTGGAGAACTCTTAAAGAACTACAAATGAGGGGCTGGAGAGATGGCTCAACGGATAAGAGCACTGACTTCTCTTGGAGGGGACCCAGGTTCGATTCCCAGCACCCACTTGGTAGCTACGAACCATCCTTAACTCCAGTTCCAGGGGAATCCAAAGCTCTCTTCTGATCTCCACGGTATTGCATGACACAGGTGAATTCACATACATGCAGGCAATACACTCATACACATAAAATAATTAAAAAATAAATATTAAATAAAAACAACTACAAATGAACCTACCATTTGACCCAGTTATACCACTCCTTGGCATATACCCAAAGAACTCATCCTATTACAGAGACACTTGTACATCTATGTTTGTTGCTGTTCTTCTCACAATTGCTAACAATTGCTCACAATTTCAAAAAGACAAAAAAATTAAAAAATAAAAAATAAAATTTCCACAGATAGCCAGGCATGGTAGCATATGCATTCTATCTTAGAACTCAGGAGGCTAAAGCAGTAGGATTTCAAGTTCAAGGTCAACTCAGGCTACAAGCCAGCATGCACAATATAATGTAATAAATTGGTGGGTTTTTTTGTTTTTTTTTTTTTTTTTTTTTTTTTTTGTTTTTTTTTTTTGGTCTTTTTGAGACGGTCTCCCTGTAGCCCCAGCTCTCCTGGAACTCACTATGTGGACTAGGCTGGCCTTGAACTCAGAGATCTGCCTGCCTCTGCCTCCTGAGTGCTGGGATTAAAGGCGTGCACCACCATGCCCAGCAATAAATTAGTTTTTAATTCTAAATTTAATTTAATTTTGAGCCATGGTCTTGCTATGTACTGAAGGCTAGTCTCAAACACTTCATCTTCCTGCCTCAGGCTGCCAAAATGAAGGGATTGCCTTCATATAAGCTGGGAAACATTCCTACTTTCCTATTTTCTGAATGACTGCAAGGAATGGGTGGACCTCCATTAAATGCTTGGCAGTGGACTGGAGATATAGCTCAGGTGGTAGTATACCTGCTAAGCACACACAAAGCCCTGGGTTCAGTCTACAAAGCTGTATTAACTGGGGTCAGTGGCATACTCCTCTAACCACAGCATTTGGAAAATGGAGATAGAGGATAAAAAGGCTCAAGATCATCCTAGGCTACACAGAGAATGAGTTCAAGGATAGTCTAGGTTACATGAGGCCCTTTCTGAAAAAGTAAAAACAAAAAGGTGGGCAGAATTTGCCAGTGAAACCACTTGGGCTTTGAGTTTTCCCTTTGGAAGTATATAAAATATAAATTTAGGTTCATTAATAGATACAGGGTTATGCAGGTTATCGCTACATTTTTATTTAGTTTTAAAACTTGTGTTCGTCAAGAAATTGATCGACTGAAGCAGTCATATTTATGTATATAAAGGAACTTATGGACTTTGAACTTAATATTAAATTTTACACGATCACTATGTATATAACATTTTTACTATTAATTTATTCATTGTTACCAATCAACTACTTTTCTTCCAATAATGAAATAATTTTAGACCATGTTTGTTTCCAAATTTCAGCTTGGAATTACTTTTATATGAGAGGTAAATGTTTGGAATCAACATGAAAAACAAATTTGGAAACATTAAATAATGTTTACCTGAAATTTCAGCTTGCTTTCTCCTCCTTCTCGGTCTCGTTTATGCATATTCACCATTAAGGTTTCATAACAATTCTTCCAATAAAGTGCCATTTTCTCATGACCAGCATAAAATGTCTGAGTTTCATACTGCTTCATGTAAGGTACAATCTTACAAAAAAAAAAAAAAAAAGAATACACATACTTTACATATACTGCTATAAAAATGATAAACCAGAAAAGTCTTGATCAAAAAGCATAAAACCTGGGGGCTAGGGGCTGGAGAGATGGCCCAGCAGTTAAGAACACTGGTTGTTCTTGCAGAAGACCTGGGTTCGAATCCCAGCACCCACATGGCAGCTAACAACTTTCTGTAACTCCAGTCTCAGGGGATCCGACAGCCTCTTCTGATCTTGGGGCATTGCACGACATGGATGCACCTACCTACATTCAGGTAATCACGCATACACATAAAATAAAAATAGTAAATAAAATATCTTTTAAAAAAGTAGTAATAACGGGCTAGGAATGGATCAGAGTTGGAAGCGTACTCACCTACTAGGCACAAAGTTCTGGATTTAACCCCTAACACCATAGAAAGAGGGTGTGGTGGCTCTTGTCTGAAATTCTAGCACTGTGAGAAGGAGGTAGGAGAATCAAAAGTTTAAGGTCACCCTCAGCTGACTAGGTCAGCCTGGGATACATGAGTTTGCAGCCAACCTGGTGAGGCGGGGAGAAAAGCAAGGAATATTTGCTTGATCTGAAGGGAGGAAAGAAGACCCTCCTCCTGGACTCTGCCTTGGCCAGCAGCAAAGCAAGAATTTTAAATTAAATTTAAAAAAACCCAGGGGCTAGAGAGATGGCTCAGCAGTTAAGAATAGCTGCTGTGCAATCTCAATACTCGGGTAATGATCTAAGTGTCCTGCAAATGCCTATAACTAGCTTCAAGGGATTTGGAGCCATCTTCTGGCCTCTGTGTGTGCATAGACACACATAACTACACATATATGTGTGCATACACTCAGGCAGATACATACTACACACACATAAATAAATCTTTTTTTAAAAAAAGAGAGATAAAAACTTACATATTTTTCAATGTAAACTTGCCATTCATTGGAACTGCAATACTCTTGAAAATCTTCAAAAAATGAGGAGCTTCCATTGGTAAATGGTAAAGAAGGCAGGTGCAAGTTCATGAAGAGAAGTTCATAAATTTTAGAAACCAGAGTAAGGATAAGGGGTATAAGAAATGAGTAGATTTCTGTCTGTTCCTTGATTGACTGACTTAGAACATGTTCTAGTTTCCCTAAAATGTAGCATGCTTCATCCTGATTTTCAATTACTTTGGTCTGAAGAAGGGTATTTAACTTAGCTGACGCCACTGCACAAACCTAGAAGAAAATAGATTAGATGAAAAAAAGTAGACTAAAGCAAACATTTAATGCTAGCAAAAGTTCTGCCTCACTACAGAAGTTCAGAAGTTTTATATAACTATCAATCATCATGAAAGGTCTCAGATTATACATAACTTCCAAGCTAACAAGTTAAGTGTGTTACAGTTTCATAAACACTGGCATAAAATATGAGACTCTTTGGTCAGGGACAAAGACCTACAGAAATTTTAATAATCACACTATTGACATTAGATTCCCCAACTGCAATCTTAAGTGCAATAAAGATGACTAGAAGACACTTACACAGGAGTGTCTGCTCAGAGAGGAACACTGAGTCTAGGGAACCTTAGTACTTTATGCTTTAAGCTTGTCTGATTTTATGATGGCGATAGGGATTATTTTTATTACATTGGATAGTAAACAAACCTATCTTTTGTTCTGAAAAGAGACATGACCTCTATCTCCCAAAGTTGTGCACTATACAAAACTCTCAAAAAAAGATTGGGTAACAAGAGCAGTTGGAGCCTTCTGCTCACATGATAGGCAAAAACACAACAGACTCATGGAAGCAACACTGTATTTCTCCAGAGACAAATGAAATAGAAAATGGGCCCAATTGCCACTGGCAGTCATTTTGAATCCTCAAGAGAAAGGGCAGTGCTGTGAGAACCGCAAATAAGCAGAACCAGAGCCCTATCTAAATCATGCCTTAAACTCATCTTAATTGTAGAATTCTCAATTATTTGAAAAAAAATTTTTAATTGCAATGGGGTCTCCTTGTAGCCCCAGCTGGCCTAAAACTTGCTATATAGACCAGGCTGGCTTGATCTCACAGAGATTTGCCTGCCTCTATCACCCAAGTGCTGAGCTTAAAGGCATGTGCCACCATGGCCGGCCTTTCCTCCCTCCCTCCCTCCCTCCCTCCCTCCCTTCCTTCCTTCCACGTGTATGAGTGTTTTAGCTGCAAGCATGCGAAGTGCACATGTGTTGTGCAATGGAGGCCCAAAGAGGGCACTATATCTGGAACTGGTGTTATGAACAGCTGTTAACTGTCAGGTTCTTGCTGGGAACAGAACCTGGGTCCTCTGCAAGAGCAGCCAGTGTTCTTAACTGCTGAACCATCCCTCCAGCCCTAAACAAATAAATCTGTTTGAATTGATGTTTTGTTATGTGGAATCAAACTATTTGGAAACCTAAAGTACAGATATATAAGAACTGGGACCTTAACTAGAAGCTTAAGTAACTATAAACTTCCTAGGGAAAATACATATTAAGAGTACAAGACCAAGCAAAAGAGAAGCATACATTACTATTCAAATGTGGCCTTGGGATAGGGTTTTAGGTCACTGGTAAAGTGGTTGCCTCTTAGGCAAAAGTCCCAGAGTTTAATTTCCAGCACTGAAGAGAGGATCAAAGGAGGAAGTGAGGGAGAAAGGGATGAGAATACACTGACTGGATGACACCCTTTTCAAACATGGCAACTTTAGTTAGAATTTTAACCTCTCCATATTCTTAGCAACATTACATCTAGTTAATGAACAGTATTAGAATACAGTCTCAACATAAGTCCCTGCATCAAATACTAAAATTGAATATTAAAAGAAAACAGGGTTAGGGAGATGGCTCAGTAGGTAAATTGCTTCCCATGTAAGCATGATGACCTGAGTTTGAATCCACAGGTTTACATAAAAAGCCAGGCTTGGTAGTGCTCATCTATAATCCCAGTAACCTACACCAAGATGAGAGGCCAACACAGAAAAATCCCTAGAAGTCCACAGGCCAGTTAACCTGCTGTATGCATCAGTAAACAAAGAGGTCCTGCCTCAAAGAAGGTAGAAGGTGAGAACCAACACACACTGTCCTCTGACATCCACATCCATGTTGTGACACAAATGTGCTCTCTCACTCTCTCTCTCTTTCTCTCTCTCTAACAAAAAAGGAAGGAAGGAGGGAGGGAAGGAGGGAACAGGGAGAAGTAAATAGCTATCAGATATTTATCCTGGCTAATCTGATCTAAGTCTTATAAGTACCCAAAACAAATGGAAAAATGACAAACTAAACTTCACATGGAATTTTTCCAATATTTTAAAATTTAGTTTATAATCAAAGTAATAAACATCCTTTGTGAATGTATTTTATCTTTAGTTCTAAACCTAGCAAAACAAGTAGTATGTAGGTAGTTGGTGTTTGATAAGTAAACAAATATGAAATGGAATGTGAAATTGTGGATTAGTAAAACAACAGGAAAAAAGTTCAAAAGTAAATTTATTATAACTTATTTCCTCTAGTAACAGAATTCCTGGGGCTGGAGAGATGGCTCAGTCATTAAGAGCACTGGCTGCTATAGCAGAGGATCCAGGTTCAATTCCCAGCACCCACATGGTGGGCAGCAACAACTCTAAATCCAGTTCTGGGGGATCCAATACCCTCTTCTGACTTCTGCGGGCACTGCACAACATAGGTGCACTTACATGAAGGCAACACACACATACAATAAAAATAATAAAAATATTTAAAAATAGAATCCCTAGCCAGGTGTGGTGGCACACGCCTTTAATCCCAGCACTCAGGAGGCAGAGGCAGACAGGTCTCTGTGAGTTCAAGGCCAGCCAGGTCTACATAGTGAGTTTCAGGACAGCTGGGGCTACAGGGAGACCCTGTCTCAAAAAGACCAAAAAAGAAAAAAGTAATTCCCTAAATTGCACACACACAAAAACCTCTAAAGCCTATTTAACACCTAGTGATTTACACTGAATGTAGATGATAGGCAGTGTTTCTAATATAATCTATGGGTAAATCCTATAACAGGAAACCTTAAAATTAGGTGGACTCATAAGCATGACAATAATTAATAGCTGCCTTTCAAGCTCTTTTCTGATCTCACAAAATTGAAATTTCAAGCAATCATAGATATTTATGGAACTAACAAAACATGGAACAGGTAGGCCCGGGAGATGTCTGAGTGTGTAAAGGTGTATGCCACCAAGCCTAACCACCTGAGTTCAATTCCTAGAGCCCATGTGGTAGAAGGAAAGAATTAACTAACAGAAGTTTTTCTCTGAACTCCACATACATGCCATGGCACAAGTATGCACATATGCACACAAAATAAACACAGTGTAATAAAAACATTAAATACTGGAAAGACATTATCATCTAGTTATTACATCAATAATGATAGTACATGAAGGACAGAAAATAATAATAGTAAAAAAGACAAACCTGCAAACTGCCTCTTCCAATGAATTCCAGAAGCAACTGGATCTGAATTTGAGAGAGTTTTAACCATACTGGACTCTCAGAATACCATACTGAAAGACAGTCGAGGAGCTGTGTGATATCCTCTAAAAGCTATCACAAAAGAAAATTTGAGAAATAAAAACATTCACTTCCAAAATCAACTGATCATGAGTTTCCTTCAATACTAGTGCATATCATAAATACTTTAAAAGTAGCTCAATGCTCAGGTGTCAAATCCAAAATCATAGTTGTAGTAGGAGCTAACAAAAATCTGTTACTATTCATTTTATCCATGTTTACTGTATCTAATTAAAGTATTAAATGCTCCAAAAAGAAGAGGTGCAAAATTTATCTCTTTGAATAATTTTGAACTAGCTAAACATACATTTATTTATATATTTATGTTTTGTTTGAGACAGTCTCACACTATAGCCCAGGCTAGCCTGGAACTTTCTATGTAGCCCAAATTGGCCTCAAATAAAGACAATCCTCCTACCTCCGTCTCTTTAAGCACTGAGTTCACAAGTTTAAGCTTCTAGAATGTAATTTCAGAAGGATATTACTAACCTTCTCAGTCCACATGCTTGAATTAACGACTCCCTCAGACTGCAGAAAGTCCTGAATGATCAATATGAGTTGGAAGGCATTTTCAACAGTTACTGGACTATTTTTGGCATCTCTATTTTCTGTGACTGCCCATTCTAACATCTTCTGTAGCAAACTAAGTATAAAATAAAGTCCTCTTAAAACCATTGTACACTCAGAAACTAAATAAAAAAAAACCCAAAGACAGTTACTTATTAGCAATATTATAACTTCAAAGACATATTGCCATTGAAAGTGTCACAAAGAGACTGTGGATTGAGAACATCTGGGCAAAATACATGCTAGAAGCTGCTCCTCAATGGAGCTGGAACTGACATGGAAGACACTTCCCCTGAGCTTTGGAGAGCTCTACGAAGGTGTCAAGGGAAAACATCAATCAATGGTCCAACATCAGCTTCAAGACCAAATAACCACATCAATAACCAGCACAGCATATGACACTGGTGCAGTAGTGGCACTTTTATCTTAGGGGCAATCAACACCTACCTAATTGGACTAAAAGCCTACTCAATGGAAGGAAACTCAAGTGTGGTACTATAAACATAACCAAATACACATTGCTGGAGAGGTCATCGATTTTAGAGAAAGCCCCAAGACTGTCACATCCCTAGACTAATGCAATTTTTTACTATGTGCAAAATATGTATCCTTATATTTACAGATAAATATCCCAGTCACCACTCATCAAAGGAGTTTCTTTTGCACCAGGCAGAGACTACTACCAAGTACCACAATTGGTCACACACAAACATTGTCTGTGAATTGCCCAAGTCTAAGTGGCACATCTACAATGCATCCTCTACACCTAAGGCTCATAGAACATAGAACAAGAGAAAAACAGACAATAATGAATCCCTCAATTCTCATTAATGAAGCGCCTTCATGCAACATAGGGCCAGGAACACAAAAGGTCACAAATGGCCAAAGTGTAGAGACTAAGAGTCTGCAGAATACAGGTCCTTGGACAGGACTCCTATATTAAACTACACCCACCCAGGGCTCAGGGACCATAAAGATTGTAAGAGCCAGGGAGGAGGTACACGACCATATGGAAACTGAGTCCTACAAGCTCCTGGGACCCTGCTCATATGAACCTACAGCAATGGTGTCAGCATGCACAAGACCCATACAAACTCAAACAGACAAAAACCCAGTGTAGAACTGGGGGAATGAACAGCTGGCCCCAATCTTAGCTGAAGAAATATTGGCAACTGATGACTACTGGGTGAGGAAGAGCTGATCTTCCTAAAGTGAGGACTCTTAGATAGGCTGACTAGACCTCTGTACTTGAACTTGCACTGAGGGATGTCTGGGGGCACTAACTTGACACAACAGTCTTAAGACAAATGACAGAATGCATAAATTTCAATGTGGGGGTGGGGGGAGTAGGAGGGTGCCAGTGGGGAAGGGAGTATAAAGATGATTAAGATTGAGATGTTCTGTATGAAATACACAAAAATTCTACAAAAAATAAGAAGCTGTTCCTGTATGATCCAGGATGAAAGAGAAAGTCAGAATAAGAGAAAAAATAAACTATTCCAAAGAAAGAGAGGAAGTAAACAGAAATCAACAAAGGTAGTAAAAGAAACCTAAAATATGTGGAGGAAAAGATGGGGGACATAGCTCCAGGCTCAAAGCTCTCTACAAGGGGAAGGAAAGCAAAAGGTGCTTCCAAAAGGCAGGCCAGGGACAGATAGGCAGTTGACCCTGAGGATAAGCTCACAGCCCTCACAAGCCTCAAATCCAGTTGCAAGTTTTGGTGATTCAGTGATTTCTCAAATGGATGTGTTGGCAGTGGAGAGAATGAATACTATTCTACTCTATATTACTTAGAGGGAAGTGACCAGGCATTATCTAAAGTGAGAATATACTGTTAAAACAGGTGGGTGGCTCACACCTTTAATCCTAGTCCTCCAGAGGCAGAAGCAGGTGACCTCAAAGTTCAAGGCTAGCCTGGTATACTTATAGGGATCCAAATTACCTGGGGCTATCTAGCAAGAGCCATCTCAAAACAAAAACAAAAATAACAATAACAACAAACCCTGAGTTACCACAGGAGCCTGAGAACAGGGAACGATTACAGGTTAGGAAGCCTCAGTGTAGCCTTCTATAGCCCCTGACTTCAATCCCCAGCACCCAAATAAAAATCTGGGCATGGTGGCACACACTTATTTCAGTGCTAGAAAGGTGGAAAGAGGAGACTCCCTGGGGCATGTTAGTCAGACAACCTAGCCTAACTGATGAGCCCCAGGATTCAGTGAGAGACCCTGTCTTAAAAATAAGGCAGACAACTTCTGAGGAACGTATGATACTTGAGGCTGATCTCTGGTCTCCACACACATGTGCACACATGTGCAAGTATACCCACACATGCCAGTACACACACATCTTCTCACCAACACACAAAGAAAAAAGAATATTATTAAAAACAAGGTCAATGAAATACTATATTCAAATATTAAATAAGAAAAATGACCATAACCACAGTGTCTAAGAACTCTGAGATATGATTCTTATACCAAATTTAAAAAACCACAGGGTGGGGCTGGAGAGATGGCTCAGTGATTAAGAGCCTGGCTTCTCTTATAGAGGACAGAGGTTCGGTTCCCAGCACCCACATAGTCCTAGGGGATTGGATGCCCTCTTCTGGCCTCTGTGGACATTGCATGTACATGGTGCATTTATATACATGCAGGCAAAAGACTCACACACATAGACTGAAAAAAGGATCCACAGGGTAGAAGAGACTATAACATGTAAGACATAGAGACTCTACTCAATGAAATATACCAAAAAATACCCCAAATCTAAAGAAACAGACATCCAAATGCAAGAGGAATTTAGAACCTCAAATAGACATGATCAGTGAACTTCTCCACAACATATTATAATCAAGAACTAAAAAGTACAAAGAAACAAATTAAAAACTATAAGAGAAAAACATCAATTCGCCTAAAAAGGCAAAAAGATCAGAATATCAGATCTTTTGTCAGCAGCACTAAAAGTCAAGGAAACAGAACAATATATTTCAAACCCCAAAGTAAACAACTGAAAGTTAGCAGTGCTCTATATTCCAAAGCAATCTTTTGAAACTGACAGAGAAATAAGTACATTTCAAGACAAGTACAAACTAAGGCAGTTCATTGATGAAGTCAGCCCAGAAGAATATACCTAAAGGAGTACCATACATAGCTATGAAGATAACTAAGGGGTAAGAGAGCTTGCTGTGCAAACAAGAGGACCTGAGTTTAAATCCCCAGTACCCACATAAAAGCCAGGCCTGGACATGGTCTTCAGTGGGGGTGGGGTGGGGGTGGGGAGGGGAGGAGACAGTGGATAAGAGCTTGCTGGCCAACTAGCCTAGCTAAAAAGGTAAATTTCGAGTTTAGTGAAAGACTTTGTCTCAAAAATCGGGTGTTGACTGACAGAGGAAGACAGCTTACATCCACCTCTGGCCTCCCCATGTGGGCACATGCACATACATACACTAT